TCCTACACCAGATTGTCGCGCATCAGTTTGTCGTAAACCAGATTGTCGTACCCTAGATTGTCGTACAACCTGGTGTACGTGTCGTACACCATATTGGCGAACACCAAATTGTCGTACACTATATTGTCGTACACTATATTGTCGTACACTCGATTGTCGTACACCCGATTGTCGTACACACGATTGTACATCCGATTGTCGTACACACGATTGGACATCAGTTTGTCGTACCCCAGATTGTCGTACAACCTGGTGTACGACAATCTGGTGTACGACAAACTGATGTACAATCGTGTGCACGACAAGGGGAACATCTATCTATTCTACTATTGGCCATTTTTGTTAATGACCTTAAGACCTTCTTGCATGGTCAAAATTGCAATTGCGTTGCTATAAGTGATAACATTTTAACAGAACATTTAAAGATACTCGTTTTAATATATGCTGATGGTAATGTCATCTTTACTGAAAATACAATCGACATGCAGAAATCATTATCAGTTTTTCAAAAATATTCTGTACAGTGGAAATTGACAGTTACCACAAATAAAAAAAAAATGTTATTATTTTTTAGTTCTAAATGCCACAGGTTGCCGAATTATCGTTTATTTTATAATGTTCTAGACATTGTCGATTGCTATAAATAACTTTTTTCTAAAAACTATTCCTTTTCAGTGCCTAATAGGCATATCAAATACCTGGCCACCAAGGCTATGTTTATATTGAAATCAAAGATCTGAAATTTAAATTTGACAATTGATTTTCAGATTAAAGTTTGGATCAAACTATTTTACAATTATAGTTATACAGTTGTGAGATTTGAGGTTTTGAGAATTGCTCAAATATTGAACAAGTACATACGGATTTTTTCCGAAGTTTTATTAATGTTAAAAGAAGTACACCTTTATACATGTTATATGGTGAATTGGGACTTTTTCCTCTTGCGGTTTATATTAAGAGTCGTATTATAGGTTTCTGGCTTAAATTATTAAATGGTAAGTAAAACAAAGTATCTAACCGTATACAGCCCTATCTGCCAGTCATATAAGTGGTTCTCATACCCATAAATGGTGAACTTTTGTTGAATATAATATTTTTAATGAGACTTGTTTCAGCTACGTATGGTTGTTACAAAACATCAACAGCCAGTATATTAAGAATCTTTACCTCAGATTTTTCAACTCTGGTATGATACAATCTATCATTCTGGTAAATATATGTTATAGAATGTTTAAAAATGAAATAAAGCTAGAACCTGACTTTTAAATCTTACTGGAAAGAGAGAAAAAAAAGACTCTCATGCGTTATTTTACATGTAACCACCGACTTCCTGTTGAAGTTTCACTTTGTGATCAGGAAGTTATTGGTGATGCATACATTCCATTATGTACATGTATTTCAATGTAGCTTTTTTCGTTCTAGAAGACGTAATTATATTCCCAGATAATATTTCCGTTTTCCAAATACTAACAAATACCGTATACTTTTTTTTAAATTGTTAAGAAATTAATGGCAAACCTTTTGGAACTTTCTGAAATGTGTTATGCAAACATTCCAGTCCTCAGGCTAAATTACCTATTCCTCTATTGTTTATTATGTATGTTGCTCATATATCATTTGTATCGATCTGAGCGTTCGATCAAGTTCTGTTCTGTTTTGTTCTAATAAATAATCGGCCGTCTGCTCAGTGCAGTAAAAGAATGGTACGATATTTCTCAAGTTGGGCGATTTGGATTAAGTCGTAAACTATTGACGGATAAGGATTCTCAAAGCGCGCAGCGTACCGTCAAACGAGCATGTACAAAGCAGTTGTGATTTATATGAAAAAACGAGGTTTCGGGGGAGTGAAACACAAGGACACCATTACCGTTGATCATATGAATCAGATGTTCGGTAAACCGGTAGTTAATATTTACAATTAAATTGTTATAACGGCCATGCCATTTCGCAGTGTTAATAAAACTACCTTATTGTTAAATCTTGAATAGTTCACTGTTATTTTTGTTGATAAAAAACAATATTTGTTACAAATATGAAAGCTTCGATGATTATTGACTTTCGGATTAATGAAACAAATACTACATTCACTAGAGTGTGACAGTGCCTAGGTCCACCCCTCGGATATCATTGTCACTCTCGGTGTCGCCTCGGGTGAGTGGTACCTCGGGGTGACCCTAGGCACTGTTAGCCTGTAAAAAATAATAGTATTTTTGTAGTATTTCTGTTCAAATACTACAAGATAACCTGGGATGTTCCCCGAACACAACTCTGCTTAAAATCACATGTTTACATAGGTGGCCAGTTGTGATGATAGCGAGGGATAGTCTTTTGTAGAAATGTTGTACAGGTAAATTGCACAGGTAAATCAACTTCTAATCAGATCAATAACTGCTTAAAGTTGCAAAATAATAATAAATATTAAGAACAGTTTTCAGAATCAGTCATATATATTTATTATGATATACATGTATAATTTAAACTTGTAACTTCAGATTTGTGTGACATCTCCTATAATTATTGTCAAATATCAGTTAAACTTGTACTTATTTTCCGATTTCTATGAATTGTGTTTAACTTGTGTGATTTCAGTTTGATTTTATTATCTGTTATGTTTTAATACAAATCCTTCTTCGGCTATCATACAGAATGTATTTTTAACCCAACTTTGTAGACATAAAAAAGGGTTTGTAGACAAGGGGGATCCGGTATCATCTTACTCATCTCTTTTTGTAGTTGAAATATAAGCTATCATGGTAAAAAAAACAATACAAACTTTAGGGCATAAACATAAATAACAAAGAACACGGGCTCTCACAGTTCGCTGCTGACACATCCGTTATTTTAAAAGGCACACAATCTTTATATTATATAAATATGCTTAAATATCGGGGTTAAAAGTAAATACTGAAAAAAACTAAAATGGGAACAACCAAATTTACCTTACTTGGGATTGATTTATCTGTCAATTTAGAAGAATGGTTACTGTTAATTTCAACAAAATTATTAGTATTATAGATGGCAAGTTACATCAAGGGTCAAGAAGAATTGTAACACATATAAGGAGAATAACTGTTCCTTAATCTCTTATCATCGCAAAAATGAATCACCTGTTTATATCTCTCCCTACTCCAAGTAAAGACATAATTCACTAATTGAAGAAAAAAAATTGTCTGGCAATCACCAGTTGATATAATAAAAAGGTCAACAATTGTTCAAGACTATAGTGAGGGTGGACTCAAAATGATTGATTTAGAAAACTTTATATATGGACTTAAAACTAGCATTCAATGGGTCACTTTCAGGCTTCTTTCGAGAATACTTCCACTTAATCATTATTTGAAAATAATTGGAATCAAACAATGTGATTTATGTAATTTATGCCAAGAAAGCAAACAAACTATAGAACATCTTTTGTAACGGTGTCAAATAACAAATAACTTCTGTCAAGACATACGTAGATGGATATACTTCAAAACAGACCAAACATTCGAAATAAAGGATGATATTATACTTTTTGGCAAAACTTCTGAATTCCAAAAAATCCATTCCAACCAAAATCACCAAGATTCATGCAAAATTCTTCATCTACTTTAGCTCCAAATAGGTTTACTGTTTATCTTTATGTTTAATTATGGCTGTCTTTTAGTGCTGTATTAAATGTGTATCACTGTTATATGTAGGAATAGAAACTGTATTTTATTGCTGACGTTAGTATCAATGTGGCTTAAATTAAGGAATTTTGTTTTTCATATAATGTCATGTTATTTTTCTTTTTAATATAATGTAAAAAGTGATATTTAATGATTATTTTCTATTACTTAAATCTGTGTTAAATGTGTATAACAGTTATATGTTGGAAATAAAAACTTTTTATCCATTTTATTATTGACTTTAGTATCATATCTACATGTACATGAGTTGACATTCTTAGTTGAAACAGGCTATAGCTAAACTTCAAAGGATTTCCTATATAAACACTTTCCTTTCAATTCTCCAGAGTTGGTGTTCGGGGATTGAGCCGATAACCTATATTAGTTAGTTCAGTAGCGTTTGGATCGTTGTATGGTCACACTGAATACGCAGTATTACTTGTGGAGTACAAAAATAACTAAAACTACACGTGGTTATCAATTTGAACTTATGTTTACTTTATTGAAGTGACTAAATTGTAAAAAAAAAAAAAAAAAATGTTTTTCATTTGCAAATATCTGGCATTATTATGTGCAAACAATGGAAAATTTAATTTATACACATTCATGTGATAGGAAAAACAAAAAAGTCAGCTTGACAAGATAGCCACGAAAACGGCAATACCACATATCTACAAAACGAAGGTCGCGGGGGATAGGCTACATGTATCAGTGTATTATCAAACTATCAAGTGTTTAAATTAAACTCCATTGGAGTTTGTCTTTCAATGGCAATTTTGCACATACATTCTTACACTGTGGTATATTATATTACAATGTAGCATCGACATATAAACTCCTTTATACCACCTACCAGAAACCTGATGGATCCAATATGACGGGTTGTCATTGTTTGAATACTTGAGAAGAATATGAAAACGAACAGAGACCTTTTTTTCACAAAGTAGATTTCTGCTCACACCAGGTGACGTCCTCCATTGAAACCATTTTCCATATAAAATTATCGGGAAACCATCAGCATTATAAGCGTAAATATACATATGACACGGCTAAAAGAATTTATTTTTTCGTTTTATATTGAAAGTTAGTGGTATTCCTCCGCGAATAACTTTGTATTCGTATATATTGGACGATCATTAAAAGTGGGTTGAGATATGTATTACGTCGATTTTCTTTGTGATTGTTGAAATATATAAGGGAAAAGTAAAATTTCTATATTTTTTTGGCGTTTTTTTTATATCGCTCTCAAATTAACACAATTCTGACTCGACCTGTATCATCATCTTTTTTACTCATCGGCTCCAAAAATGAGACAGCTTACCTAATAAAAACAGCAATATACCTAAGTTCATGGGGTATTATGTAGCTGTTAATTAGAATAACTTCCCTTTATGCTGTATTACATTTGGATATAATAAAACTTGAAACTTGTTATCTTGTTAACCAATGACGTAACAATCAATACCTACTCCCAAGAGAAGATAACTCTGCAATACGCAAAGACGGAATAGCTCATATTCATTAGGACCCCCTACACGTTTCTTTTCCGGCACACTATACTGATTCGTACCAGTTGATAAAACTTGTCAAACCATTTTTGCAAAATTAAAAAAGCTTTTATAAAAAAAAAATCATAAATTGTTTAATGAAACCGCTGCGTCAGATCATTTCTGTGATGTTATTTTATTGATATTACAGATATCAGCCTATCGGTGCTGTTATCTCGTATGGAAACGGAAATGGCGACGATTTCAAAAGGACTACGAACGTTAATGGAGCTACTTCTTATCCATGGGGTTCGGAAAACGTCGACGGGGCAGCAGACTACGCCTTTAATGCAGTGCTTAATGGAGGTATTAGTTAGTTTATATATTTCTTGCAAGTACATAAAATAATTAATAGATTTATTAATCATGATATTGAATGATAATTTACTATCATTTAACTTAAACTGATCCCGTTTTCAAAGAAAACAGAATTTAGAAACTTTCACTGTTTGTAGGTAAAATATCCACTATAGGTTTTACAAATGTCTGTTAAAGCCGTAAAGTTCGTACAATGCTGCGCATTGTTCCAAATAGTTTTAAAAAAATCTCATGAATGGGTAAGTAGTCTGGAGATTTTCCATCACAGCTTAAAGTCATTTTCAGATTCGAAGAATGTAAAAATGAAGAAAAACAGATACAAATCACAATTACAAATATTCATCCAAAATGGTTTCCCCTACTGGATCAGAGTTGAAATCCTTTTGCGAAGTATGTGGTTCTATTCACAGTACCATCGAACGCGCCGACGTTTTCTAACCTGGCCAATACTGCCAGTGTCTCTGACAGTGCTGTGGCGGGGACCAGTGTATTCACTGTAGCCGTGTCGGATGTGGACGGGGATATCCAGTCTACAGAAATGACGAATGCTTCCCCCTACTTCAGTTTCGACACGTCAACACGTAAGCTATGTAGCCACTTTTAAATAAACACAAACCATTTAATAATTATGTGAACGATCTTTATAATTCATTTGTGTCACAAATTGTGCGTTTGGGTTTTATTATCTAATAACCGAATCCGCGATCGACACAATGTTACTAGAAATATGTTAAATTAATATCCATGTATACTACTTTATTAAGGATTTTATAACATTTCTATTATTTTCATTAAATCATTGAGAAAAATATCCAGATATTCTGTTGCTCTTGCCAGTATGAACTGTTCTATACTATACTATACTATACGTATGCTCCTATTTTTCTTCATTTTACCCTAGTTGAAGTTAGTGTACTATCCACAGCGCCAGCAGGTGCTTATCCATTGAACTTCAAAGTCACTGACAGGTGTACCAATACGGCGACAGCCACGCTATCTGTGACTGTCGCTGATCCCTGTACTGGCTCGTCAAGTCCTACCTTCTCCGACGCCACTCCGACCGCCTCCATATCTACGACGGCCGCCGTCGGTACGACAGTATCCACCCTCACAGTGTCCGACGTGGACGGCGGCACGCTCACCACAGTAATGACGTCATCATCCCCTTACTTCACGTTTGACACTTCTTCACGTGAGTAATGAAATTTAACCGGTTAATGGTTTGTGTCATGGTTTTAAATCCACATTTGAAATTAGTAGTGTATTCTTGTTAAAAAAAACATCCCGACAACAATGGCAACATTCCAACTCTACCTTGAAATATAAGTCGAAAATAAAATAGCGCAAGAAGTTGCATGCCTTGCATCATCAAAATTTTATAACACGACATCACTAATAAAAAACACGCCCGTGTCAAGATGTTATTCCCATGATAGTAACATATGCCTTTCTCGATAATATCAGGTACCACCGACATAGTCGAACGTTAAGTTAATGTTTATATGTTCAAACACTATTGTAGTCGAAAAAAGAATCTTGAAGTTTGTTTGCTACCGGCCATTTCTAATATGGCTAACGAGCTAAGCAAAACATAAATCTGGCTTGAATAAAACGCAAAATCGGAAGTATTCATTTCTAAGATTTTCTGGGGCGTATTTGTTTTTGTAGCATTCACATGTTTTGATGACATATATCAAAGTACCTTGTGCCTACAGATCAAAGTATATACCGAGCTCCGCAATGCACGATTGCTTGCACTTACAATTTAAAACACAGAAACAATCATCCATCCATGTAGGCAACGTAAAAAGCAAATTAATGCACAATCAGAAAAAAATGTTCAAAACATCTTTTTTTTACTAATGACATAAATTTAAGTAACAGTTAATTTGTAGAACAATATGAAATTAAGAAATATTATATTGACAACTCAAGAGGATAACATATCGCGTTGTATTGATTTGAAGTGTATTGATTGATATCCTTGTGTGTCAGTTGAGGTGACGGTATTGTCGTCCGTCCCGGAGGCAGTGTACCCCCTGAATTTCGAAGTGACAGATGACTGTTCCAACACGGCGACAGCCACGCTATCTGTGACTGTCACTGATCCCTGTACTGGCACGTCAAGTCCTACCTTCTCCGACGCCCCTCCGACCGCCTCCATATCTACGACGGCCGCCGTCGGTACGACAGTATCCACCCTCACAGTGTCCGACGTGGACGGCGGCACGCTCACCACAGTAATGACGTCATCATCCACTTACTTCACGTTTGACACTTCTTCACGTGAGTAATGAAATTTAACTGGTTAATTGCTTTATGTCAAGGTTTTAAAACCACATTTGAAATTGGTAGTATATTCTTTTTAGAAAGAACAATAACAATCCCGACAACAATGGCAACGTTCCAACTCTACCTTGAAATATAAGTCGAAAATAAAATAGCGAAAGAAGTTGCAGGCCTGGCATCATCAACATTTTATAACACGACATCACTAATAAAAAATCGCCCGTGTCAAGATGTTTTTCCCATGATAGTAACATATGCCTTTCTCGATAATATCAGTTACAATCGAAATAGTCGAACATAAAGTTAATGTTAATATGTTCAAACACTATTGTAGTCGAAAAAAGAATCTTGAAGTTTGTTTGCTCCCGGACATTTCTAATTTGGCTAACAAGCTTAGCAAAACATACATTTGGCTTGAATAAAAAAAAAACATCATAGAATCATTACATGGTTTCCATGTCACGTTGGTAATTGTACATCTGTGCCGTTACATTTAAGTTGGTGAACACAAAATCGAAAGTATTCATTTCTAAGATTTTCTGGGGCGTATTTGTTTTTGTAGCATTCGCATGTTTTGATGACATGTATCAAAGTACCTTGTGCCTACAGATCAAAGTATATACCGAGCTCCGCAATGCACGATTGCTTGCACTTACAATTTAAAACACAGAAACAATCATTCATCCATGTAGACAACGTAAAAAGCAAATTTACTAGTGACATCAATTTAGGTAACAGTTAATTTGTATACCAAAATGAAATTAAGAAATATTATATTGATGATTCAAGATGATAACTTATCGCGTTGTATTGATATGCAATGTATTTATTGATATCCTTGTGTGTCAGTTGAGGTGACGGTATTGTCGTCTGTCCCGGAGGCAGTGTACGCCCTGAATTTCGAAGTGACAGATGACTGTTCCAACACAGCGACAGCCACGCTATCTGTGACTGTGACTGACCCCTGTACTGGCTCGTTAAGTCCTACCTTCTCCGACGCCACTCCGACCGCCTCCATATCTACGACGGCCGCCGTCGGTACGACAGTATCCACCCTCACAGTGTCCGACGTGGACGGCGGTACGCTCAACACAGTAATGACGTCATCATCCCTTTACTTCACGTTCGACACTTCGTCACGTGAGTAATGTTAGCTGATTGGGTTGATTTTCATCTCTCTCAATTTCAGATCTGCTTATCTAAATTTGTACTTTCTAAATCAACGACAACAGTTTGTACAATCCTAACACTGTAATGTCGAATAGAGGTGTAAGATGACAGGACAACGACAAAAAACAAATTGCATATTTGAACTAGAAATCATCTTGAAATATGACCTCCCTAACATCAATGCCCTTTTTATCCCCCGCGTTCATCTAAACGGGGGATATTAATATGGGTCTGTCTGTCTGTCTGTCTGTCTGTCACGCTACGTTTCTGTGCAATAACTCCAACAAAAATTAACCGATTGTTTTCAAACTCGATCATAGGGTTAACTTGCTTAAGGGCTCGGCCAGTTCGATGACCACTTTCAGCGACCCCATTTGGCGGAGTTATGGCTTCTTGAATAATGAAAAACGTCATTATCTGCCGCGTTTTGTTTCCGTGCAATAACTACAGCAAATGTTTACCGATTTTCTTCACACTTGGTCACAGGGTTAAATGCCTTAAGGACTTGACCATGTTGGATGATCACTTTTAGCAGACCCCATTTGGTGGAGTTATGGCCCCCTTGAATAACGAAAAAAGTAATTACCTGCTGGGTTTTGTTTCTGTGCAATATCTATAACAAATGTTAACCGATTTTCTTCAAACTTGGTTCAATGTTGATGAAAATTGGTATATAGGGGATATTAGGGGACTGCGAATTCAACCTCTTCGGTTTCGTTGCCATAGCAACCACACGGAGGCTTCTGACTGGTCGCAATTTAGATATTGTTTGATTTCGATGAATATTGGTATATATGGGTATTAGGGGATTGCAAATTCAATCGCATACGTTCCGATGCCACAGCAACTACACAGAGGATTCTGATTGGTTGCAATTTAGAAACTGCTCAATTTCACTCAAATTTAGTATGTACATTGCAGGTGTACTATGGCAATGGGATCCTTTTCTGATGCATCCTTGCAACTATGAGGCTGTTTGGGAGACATCTGTAATGTTCCCCCATTACAATAAGTACTTGTTGCTGTAGAAAAAGTTAAGATGTTTCAACCAAATTCCTTATGCACATCCAACTCATGCTAAGCTTGCCAACCGATGTAATTTGTGCATATTTACAGATAATCAATGAGGTGTACGGCTTTTTTTTCTTCAAGTTTCAAGCTATACATTATGTCTCAACAGCACGATACTCTCATGTTTAAACCTAACCTCAATAATGTTAACCTACAGTATGTCCTGCAAGCGGGGGATATAAATTCCAGGAATTTGCTTGTTATAATTGTTACCCGATGACGTTAACTTTTACCTTTCTTCTGAAATTAAATGGCAAAAGAAGATGCTTAATAAAAGATACACCAACTGAGAAAATGCAGATTTATTTCTGGTCAATGTCATTATGATGATATGGCTTCCGAGCGGACAATATGTATTTTTCATGAGTTGTCTTTTTCTTAATTGAAACAAAAACACAATCAGTTTAATTTCAGCACAGTATTGGTAATATCTAATATTTGCACCTTACTGACGGCAAATAATACATTTACTATATAACATAGTAGATTTTTAAACTCCCACTGAATAAAGTATGAAATTGTAAAATCCCAAACATTTTATACAGATTGCTACAGATTACCATATGTATCTACATATTGCTAAATGTATTACATATATATACAGATTAATGTATGTTTATACATATTGCTAAATGTATATACAAATTGCTACAGTATACTAAATGTATATACTGATTGATACATTTATATACATATTGAGTTATATATAAACATATTATTAAATATATATACAAATATATGTAACGATTGCTACATGTTGTACAGATCGATAAATGTGTATACAGATCGATCCATGTATCTACAGATCGATACATGTATATACAGATCGATACATGTATATACAGATCGATAAATGTGTATACAGATCGATACATGTATATACAGATCGATAAATGTGTATACAGATCGATACATGTATATACAGATCGATAAATGTATTCCATGTATATACAGATCGATACATGTATATACAGATCGATCCATGTATATACAGATCGATACATGTATATACAGATCGATA